CGGAAATAGTTGAAATTTATTTTTCTCTGTTGAATGGAGTTAGTTGACTGACGCCTGTAAGGAGTATGGTTTTTCTGTCCGCTGCCTGGTCTTGTTTGGCCGCCGCGCCAGCCCCAATTAATGTACTGAGACTATGTATTAGATATAATTCTGTTGGCCAGTTACTTGTTTCTTATAGGCTAGCTCTGTCTTAAATATTAACCCATTTTTATGTATTTCCACGTGATCTTACCAGCGAGAGGTGGCTGGCGGTTCTATTCTCTCCAGACTCTCCATCTTGACTCCTCCTTCCTACTTCCTATTTCCTCCTTATCTCCTAGCCCCTCCTATCTTCCTTTCCTATTGACCAACAGTGCTTTATTCATTAACCAGCATGAGAAACATTTACAGAATGACATCTCCCATCAGATGTCCTTATCAAAGATAAGGTTTGTATATGTGGATTTATTTCTGGATTCTGAATTCTATTCCCATGTTGTATTTCTTTATCCCCTGATAGTACCATATTGTTTTGATTACTGAAGCTTTGTAGTAAGCTGGAAGAGTGGGTTTTCCTTTTTATTTATTTATTTATTTATTTGTTTTTAGGTCTTTTTGGTATTTGTGGTCACTGTAATTTTATGTAAATCTGAAGGGCTTGTTTTTCTATTTCTGCCAGAGATGCTGATGTCTCAATGATGTGTGGTTCTGTAGAATTACTTGAGTATACACATAATTTTTTTTTTTTTTCCCTGTGAGACAGGATTTCTTTCTATAGCCCTGGCTGTCCTAGAACTTGCTTTGTAGACCAGGCTGGCCTCAAACCATAGGGATCTGCCTGCCTCTGCCTCCTAAATGCTGGGATTAAAGGCATGCACCCCCACAGTCCTACATGTATATATACATCTTAATATTGCATTTTTATCCATGAACATAGTATGTCTTTTTATTTATTTAGTGATTGAATTTCTTTCAGGAATGCTTTGTGATTTAGGTAGTACAAGACTTTTACCCTTTTGGATATAGTCATAGAATCTTAGATCTTACTAAGAGATCTGATTCATTAATTTCCCTTTCAGATTGTTCATGGTTGTGGTATAGAAACACAACCAATTTTTGCGTATGAATCTCCCACCTTATAATTTGTTTGAATTTATTAGCTCTAAATAGCTTTCCTGTGTATTTTGTTGGATTTTCTATATGTATATAGGATCATGCCTCCTGAAAATTGACATCATTTTATGCCTTTTTTAATCGTGGCACTTTTATTTCCTTTTCATGTCTACTTGCTCTTGTTAGTGGAATGTTGACTTGCAGTGCTGAATGCGGCTTTCCTTGTTGCAGCCCTGATCTTGGGAAAAACCTTCTAGCCTTTCAACATTGAGACTGATATTAGCTGTAGCTTTTTCATTAAATGCCCCCATCCAATGCTGAAGGCATTAAGGGAAGGAGTTTGCAAGTATGCTTGTAGAAGTAACTCCATGCCTACGAAGATTTTGCTGTCTGTCTGAGGAGAGGCCTTTGTAAGGCTTTTGTCAGCTCTTAGAAGGTTTATACAAGACTGTCTTTGCTGCAGGCTGTGTTTGAGGTTTCTGGGTACCTTTACTTCCATTTGGTGTTCCACAGCAAAAAAAAAAAAAAAAAAAAAAAAAAGGAACTGGATTAGGAACTGGATTTCCAAATCCTCAGCTCTAGAAACCTTTGAATTCAAATGCATCTTTCTAATCCCATTGTTCACCCACCTCAATGGTTTCTTCCCCTCTTGGATCTCGACATGATGGTCCTTCGTTTTCTCCATAATTTTTTCATACATTTAATATTCCAAACATTTTATGTAGTTCTCAGTCACCTTGAACTGATGTTGCTAGTTTTGCATTTCCAAAAGAGATTGTCCCTTGAATCATTGCTTGCTGATGATAGAGGCTCTGAGTACAAGTTTCTTCTTGCTTAGAGAGGACACAGGGGGACACCTTTATTTCCCATGCTGACAGGGGCAAGAATGGAATTAATTGCATGCAGATCGAGGCATTTGGTCAACATTACTCAATTTGTCATGGCAAGAGAGGTAAGTAGCTTGTCTTTCATCAAGTTTAGCTATCTGTTTTATTGTGTTTTTTTTTTTTTTTTAAAAAAAAAAAACAATGGTTTTAGTCACTTAGTCTCAGCTGACCAAGGAGAAAAAGGAGTTGGTCCTGGAGGCCACCCAGACTCTGCTGTCTTAGTATGGTGTGTTTTATAGGAGACACATCCTGAGGCTCAAGCCAGTCAGAGCAGAGCAAGGTTCAGATCAGGATCAGAACAAGAGGGTAGGTTCATAGTAGTGGCATCTTCTTCCTCCTCTTCCCCCTCCCCCTTCCTTCTTTCCTCATGGCTTCAAGCCCCTGAAATCAACTCAGTTTAATTATAACTTCAAATTCCAAGATAATCACAGCCATTATTGTCAACAGCACAGAACTTTAAAATTCAGTGAAACAACGTCCAAGGAAATTATAGACTGGGCTCACATGAGATGTTAGAACTGACCAAACCAGACCGGCATCACAGAAATGCCAGACTGAAGCCAAATTGTTCATCTGACTTCCTGAGAAATGTCCAATACTTCAGTTCTAGTGGCCTGCTTTAGTCTTCATCAGGAAAGGTCTTTGGAAACCACCAGCCTTTTGGTTGTGGGGGCTGTGGAGAGTTCTGACTGTGAGAGCTACACGACTCACAAACTTCTCTTTACTCATTTGTTGTTGAATTATTTTGTCCTAAGCTCATTAAAACAAAACAAAACAAACAGAAAACAATGGGACTAATTTTTAGGACAGCAAAGTAAGCTCAATTTCAGGATCAATCTCTTGGCTCTCTCCATGTTAAAGTTCCCAGTGGAGGTAGATATTTGTAATTCACCTCACTCAAGCCTCCTGCTTCTTAGAACTGTCAGCATGCCACTCATAAATGGGAAACCTCTACATTTACTTTGGAAGTGATTTAATTAATAAATGAGTTTCCTAGAGACAGAATCCTAGCACTTCCTTGTGTTCAAACCATCACCCACAGTTCCTAAGCATCTCTGTCTGCAAGTCTTCACTTTAATCTACTCTGCACCCTTGCCCCCACCCCCTGATCTGTGACCACTGCATTCCCCTTACAACACACACACACACACACACACACACACACACACACACACACACACCTGATAGCAATAGCCTCTGAACTACACACTGTGACCTGAGGGCATCTTCCAGTCCAGGGGCAGGCGGGGAGGGAGACAGGTGCAGCAGCATTTTCTGTCCCACTGAACCCAGATACAACTGACTTTGGAGCTATTATCCCTGTGCTGACAAAGTCTGCAGGCAATCAAAAGTCCCCTGGGTGGGGGTTGTCTGCTTTTGCTTGTCTCAAATCTTTCTGGCAAACAGTAGGGGTCTAACATAAGTTTGACTAGTATACAAGTGGATAAGCTAAATAATGTGTTCATTTGTTATGCTGATTATTTCTCTTGTTTTGTTCACTGAGGTATTACTTTCCTTAAATGGATGTCTTCTGCTTAGACCCCTAGTCTGAGCTGGTTTTCAGAAGAATGCAGGAATGGATGAGGGAGGTAAGGGCAGTCTGGCATCACACTTTGATATTGTTTCAAGCACTGTCAAAAACACTGCCTTGAGAAAACACCTCCAGGAAATTGGAATTTGCACTAGGGCTCTCTAAACACCTGGCTAGAGGCTTATTCTTTTTACAAAGAACTGGGAGAGATGGCAGCAGTTGGTCACAGGCCAATATTTTGAGGTCAGCCACTTTATCCTGGGATTCCCATCCTCTCTCTTCATCCCTCGGCCATCCAGTTAAATTGGAAAATAAATCCCATCCCTGGTAAGGTGTTGGCTGATAAAGGCTTGAGCTATTGCCCCTTCAAGGGGAATTTGCATTTTAATAGAGACTCGTCAAGCCCCAAAGGAATCAATATCTCTAACGCTGAAATTTCAAGCACCAGCAATTGAGATATTTTCAGGACACTGTTCAGTGTTTCCAGTCCAACGTCGGGCATGCGGTGGGGTAGGGATGGGGGTTGGCTCCGTAAGTCCTGCCAAGAGGCCATGAAAGAATTGCCTTTGCCTTATATCCTTTTCAACTTTGCCTTTCATTTTTTCGGTCAAGCCTTCATACTTCCAACACTTTAGGCCCCTTTCAACATTAATAGGTTTAAAGTTGTCCCATCAACAGGGCCACAAAGCCATTACGACGTCCAAATTTCCAGGTTTCCTTGACATTCCAAGGAAGCCAGTCGTTGTTAAAATTGTTGGCAAGAGGGAGTATAGGGGATTTAATAGTTTGTTACTATGTCCATTTACATTCGCTTTGCATATTGTTTGAAAGCTCAAACTTGGGACTTGTTTTATAAAAAGCCTCACCAAGGACAGGTAGATGGATAGAAGGCACCCGCAGCATGCCCCCTAAATGTCCTAGGTGGCAGCTAGGGAGATTCTGGAACTGCAGGAAAGCATCTAAAAGCTTATCTTGGTCTCTGCCCTGCAGAGGGGCTGGGGGGCCATCACCCCTAGGGCTCAGAGCTGGAAACATATCCCAGGGCCCCAGGTCCTCAGTGCCATAGGTCCCACAACCTGGCCCCCAAGCCTCAGCCAAAGACTCCCCATGGAGCCCGCTCTCTCCCCTAGCCCTTGCCGAGACTCCATCCTCTCTCTACTAGGAATCCTCCACCGACCGGGAGGAGGCGCCAGCGCGGACACACCTGCGACTTCTCCTGCTCCCGGCTCCCCGCCGGGTCCCGGCTCCCTCCCGGGCCCAGCGCGTAGCGGCTAGGCTCGCTCCCGAAGCCCGCGGCAGCTCGCGCCGGGCACGGAGGCTCGCGCCCGCGCTCGGCCGGGGGAGCGCGCGGACGAGCGAAGGAGCGAGCGAACGGGAGAGAGAGCGAGCGGGCGGGCGAGCCGGCGGGAGAGGGCGCAGCGCGGCCGGCGGGCCCTGCGCAGTGGCGGTGGTATGGGCGCGGGCACCCGGGCTGGCTGCGGGAGCCCGGCTTTCCGCCCGGCCCGACCCGCTCGAGGTGGCCGCGCGTCGCAGCCTCTGCTGTCCGCGGGGAGGCGGTCCCCGCAGCCTGCGCAACTTGCCTCGGCGCCTCTCTAAGGAGCGCAGCGCGGAGAGAGCTTGCGGGGCGCGATGCCTCCGGCCGGCGGCCCCCGCACACCGCGCCCGCACGCGCTGCCCCGCAGCCTGTCCCGTTTGCGCGAGTGCCCGGGCCGTTCCCGCATCGTGCTGGCTCTCGGGGCCACGCAGATGGCGCTTGGATGCCTCATCGTGGCCGTGAGCTTCGCGGCGCTGGCGCTCACCACGTCGGCCCGCGTGCGCCACTCCTGCCCTTTCTGGGCCGGCTTCTCGGTGAGTGTCTGCGGCGATGGCGCGGGCTGGGACCCGGAGCTGCAGTGACGGGGACGCGGCCCGCGCCGAGTGGGGGCGCGGACGCTCGGGTCTGGCAGCTGCGGCTCGGGTGCAGTTTCCAAGTCCCGGGCAGGGGAACTCCGGGGACAGTCTCGAGTCGCGCTGCAGCTCCAACGCGCTGCACCCGGAGTTACTTTTCTGGGGGGAAAGGAGCCAGGCAGCCTCCCCTCGCCACCTGGTGGGTAGTGATCGGCGGCGTATCCCCGCCTGGGGCAGCTGTCTGATTCTCCGCTCGTCAGTGACCGACCCGGGCAGCGGGCGACCGCGACCGAGGTGGCGCGGTGCACAGCCCGCTGCGAACGGCTGCCTTCGCTGCGGTAATCATTGGGGGCGCGCGGTGCTTCCCGTTCGGTTGCGGTTCAGTCCGGGGGAGACCCGCTGGTCCCGCTCTGGCTACTCACCTCCTGGACGCGGGGACGTCTTGTTTCTCTCGTAAGCCCGGAATAGTCCTGCTGGACGGGTTGGCGACTGGGAGCCAGGAGTGTGCTTTTTGAACTCCAGACTGATTTTCAGGTTCTTGATCCTCAAATCTTCCCCTAGGAAACATTCATTAAAGAAGCCGTCGGACTGAGATTATTTATTTATTTATTTAGGTATTTTGTAGCGTTTTGATGAAAGTTGCTTATTTTCTATTTTAATAAAGAACGGCCATAATGAGAATTAGGAGATAGATGCAGCATGGGTATATATAAAGACAGGCACTTGTTTCTAGAACTCTTGACATCTGTAACTACATTTGGTTGATGGTGCACCAATACATTACAGTCTTCCAGTGAATACCCTGCGTTTAAATTCCGCTTACACAGACCCAGACCAAGCCTTTGAAATTAATGATCGTCGTTTGTTCTGAACTTTTATAATGAAAAACAAAATCGGTCTTGCTTTTATTCATTTATTTAGTTTGTAATGGCCTTTGTTCTTGCAAGTTCCTTGTCTGGTTTAAAATGAGATCCCAGCAAAACTATCCTTGAAACAAGAATCGATACAGGTGTGGCTGTTCATCCTAATGGGGGTATTAATTTTCAAAGCTTATTTCAGAAGGGGCGTGGGGGGCTCATTTGGAGAGCTGAATAGGATGACAGAACCTGTGGTCAGATCTCCCAGTGTTCAGATCGATGAACGGAGGTGGGCGGCAGCCTCTAGGGAGTCGTGGTCCAAACCCGCCCCTATATATAGTCTCCACACATCTGTTGCTCGGTTTTTAGCATTACTTAATATGCATTGTTTTCATGTCTGTCTAGTGGGTACTGAGTTTCAGCCTGCTGGAACCAGCCTACAGGTGGCAGACTGCTGAATTAGGCTTCCTGGCTCTTTCCTGAGCCTCCCCCAACCTCCTCTCAGCCTTAGCTCTATTTCCCCCGGGGTTTGCAAAGAGAACTGCCTTTTTATAATAAGCCTTAGGAAGAAAACATTAATTGGAGACAGCAGAAAAGCATTTATGTTAAAACACATTCACTACGTTTTGTTTCGGGAGTTAAGTTAAACGTGTAAAATAGCAATGCCACTTGGGTTTCAAGGGCTGTTATCTTCAGCAGCTGTGAGTGGTTGGTTCTGGTTTCCCCCAGTTCTGAGTTACGTTCTAGTGTTAGGCTAAGTGCTTGCATTTCTGGAGCTCCAGCATTGAAGCCATCATAAAGTGCTTACACGTTTTACCTCCTACTCTCTGTCCTTCCACCCCACAGGTTTCTGTTTAATCTTCACACTTAATCAGCTACAAGTGTTTCTAAAATTCTTCCCCCCCCCCCAGGGGATGAAACCTCCCCATACATACCAGGTAAGTACTCTGCTACTGAGCTCCAACTCCAGCTTTTAAATTCTTTCATCAAAGTGCATAGTGATTTTCACATGTTACCTCTGCCCTGCAAAAAGAATGGTTGGTTTCAGTTGGAGTGGGCTTGTGTGTGATGTGGTTGTGAGTAGGTAACACAGGTTCTTTGCCTCCCTCATACACTCTGCCCTCAGCATCAACAGCTTCTGTAGCAATGGATTCAATTAACCATAGAAAGAAAATATTAAGAAAATCCCTGTATCTGTACCGAAAAATACAGATTTTTTTTTCTGGTCATTATTACCCAAACAATACAACATAGCAATGTTTGCATTGCATTTTTTTATTGCATTAGTTATTATAGGCAGCCTGAAGATGATTTAAAAGTATACAGGAAGATATATGTGGGTTACATGCATATTGTATGGCATATAAGGGATTTGAATTTCTAACCATGGGGGCTGGAGGTTCCTGAGATCAGGAACCTATCCTCTATGGATAATGAATATGTTTGCTCTAACTCCCTTGAAAGGTCGTCCTTATAGACAGGTGACCAGGATGGCAGGCTTCTATGGAAACCCACACTGTGCTTCTTGCTGGACTCTGATCTTTGAACCTTCTGAAAGGAGTGCTTTGTTGATACCTCAAACTTTTTGATTATCTGTAGTTGGACCCGATGAAGAATCATTGTATCAATGGTTCTTCTATTTAGGAAAGATAGTACTAAGAAAAGCAGTTCTTACTCTGTACTTACTGTGTGTGTACCAGACCTGACCTTCCCTTTTACATGGGTTCTAGGCCATTTCACTGGTAGCCTAGTGTTGTGTGTCTCCCAGTGCTCAGGGCCTTAGGCAGGGGATCTTAGGCAGGGGAATGCCACACAGTCAAGCCAGCCTCTCCTTCAGGGCTTGCTCCTCATGTAGTCGGGCTACTTGAGGTTAGTGATCTGAAACTGACAAAGAAGACATAAATAATTGCCCAAGAAGGGGCTTTGAACTTAGTCACTCACTTTAGAAACACCAAGTTGAGCAAGTTCCAGGATAGCCAAGGATACATGAAGAGACCCTGTCTGGAAAAAACCAAAACAACAACAACAGAAACCACCAAGTGCCTAACTGAAGACCACACTTCTGTCCATGTTGCAGAGAGTAGAGGAGTCCACCTTAGAAGGCAGTCACACCTTCTGTTTCTTAGGAAAAATCCTAACCGTGCCTGAAAGGTGAAGGTTCAACAGAGATTTTAAGACACATTACACTGGGGACATTGAGAAAATGTAAAAGCTCCATGTGTATGTAATATGTGTGTGTGTGTGTGTATGTGTGTGTGTGTGTATGTATGTATGTATGTGTGTGTCTGTCACTATATGTATAGGTGTGTATATATTTATGTATGTGTCTGTGTGTATATATGTATATGTAAGTGTGTGAAAATATGTGTATGTGTGTGTATATGTATGTGTATATGTGTCTGTGTGTACATGTATCTGACTATTTGTGTATGTGTGAATGTGTGTGTATATATGTGTGTATATATATATATATATATATATGTGTGTATATATATATATATATATATATATATATATATATATGTATCTGAGTATTTATGTGTACACAGGGCCACCATGGGGAGGTTTTAGTCCCTGACCACTTGGCCCATTGCTTTTAGCACATTGTGGCAAGCCAGCACATTGTGATAGGATTGCATGTCCTGCTTTCTTTGAACCAGAAAGCCAAGAGAGGAAAAAGAGGAAGGGGCTGGGACCCACTGTCTCCTCCTAGGTCACATCTAGGCTCCGCCTCCTTCCTGTAGTGCCATGCAGAACCAAGTCCTTCCTACATGGGCCTTTAGTGGATATTCTAGAGCTAAACTATAGCAGGGGAACTTGGCAAAGCTGGAGGCAGATGGGGTGGGACAGCTGTGGCCTGAAGTATGAATGAACAAGCCACATGCTACTTTCCTTCTGAGGACCACCCTGGTGTGGTTCCCTGTCAACAAGTTAGGAGATGGGTCACTCCCTCATCTGTGAACCTTTGGCACAGTTGAGTGGTGATTGGCAGTGTATAGGAGCCCAGAGCTGGGTGGGGTCTTGACCAGTTCCCTTTAGTGGAGCAGCTTCATTATTTTCTAATTTTGCCAATGCCTGGGATACCGAATAAGTGCATTTGAAATCACCTGCACAGCAGCTGCTGGCGAAGAAGCGAAGTCTTTGTATTCCCTTTAAGAGCATTGCTGCTAGACTTCTAAAAATATTCCCAAAGCAGTATGCAATTGTTGCCACAACTGAAGCCCAGGAAATGCACACACGTGCACTCTTCTTCCCCATCAGGGCCCTGACGGTAGGTAACTGACTTTACCAGTGGTGTCTGATGTCCCTCCACAGACTTCACAGTCACAAGTATATCAGAATTCTTACATGTGCAATGCTTCCTTTTCTTTTAAAGAGTATAAAAATGTGATTCTACCACCCACACTTTACTCTGTGGCGAATAGTCCCTTGTCATAATTGGTGATGATTTCGAATCCATTCTTTCAGCAACTGTGTAATAGTCCACACTGCGGGCTTGCACACTTTATTCAGTTTCTGTGCTGCTGGTAACTTCATGGTGACACAGATTCTATGTGCCTGATGCTGCTTATTTTAGATGTCAGTTCCTGCTTCTGAGAGTGATCTCCTAGGGAAGAATTGCTGCTAGTCAGAGGGTGTTCAACTTGGAATTTTGTTAGTTCTTACTAGATTAGTTGAGGGAAAAGGTTATAAGCATCCTCACCCCCAAGTCTTGCATAGGGATTTGATTTTCCCCACCCTTGAGACCTGGGGTATTAGCAGCCTTGAGTGCTTTTATTAATCTGACAGAAGACTGGTGTCTGTTTTCATTTGATATGACTTTTCATGTCCACTTTATTTTGTCTTGCCAATATCTTATCACTGGGCTCAGTTCTTGCTGTCTTTTGCAATATTTAAAACTTTTGTGGTCATATGTCCATTTCCACTTTCATAGTTTCTGCATATTTCACTCTTAGTTATCCTTACAAAGGATAAAGATTACACACACACACACACACACACACACACACACACAAGCCAGAGGAAACCTTGACTGTCATTTCTTCTTTTTTTTTTTTTTTTTTTTCTTCTTCTTTTTTTTTTTTTTTTAGGCAGAGTCTGTCA